GGATTGAGGAGCAACACGCGCAGTCTATGACGATGTTGCTACAAAAACTTAAGACACAAGGCGGAGGAGTGGACAGCGCAGAGAAGACGATGAATGCACTTGTGACACGTATGTCAACGTTTACTTACGATCCAGACCACGGGCTGACTTTCGAGTTATGGAACTGGCGATATGAAAGTGTCATCGAGAATGACGGAAGCAGCCTGGACGACGCCGCAAAAGTGAGACTGATTACTCAAAAACTAGATCAGCTTGCTTTTCACAAATACGCCTCGCATATTCTCCCGAAGAAACATTCAGAGCTGGATTTTACAACAACAGTGTTGACTCTGAAAGAGTTGTTCGGCCATCGCGGTTCTCAATTTGCTCGGCGATATCAATATCTGCAGATAAAATGTGAAGATTCCAACAACGATACATTTGACGATTATACCGGGCTAGTGAACGAGCGGCATGAAATCGCCGAAATCTCCAAGATCACACCCGAAGAGTTAAAATGTCTCGTCTGGATATGCGGGTTGAAGAGCGAGCGGTATCAGAAGGTTCGTCAAATCGCTCTACAATTCGTGGAGGAGAACCCAGATGCAACGCTGAAGAAGTTGCACGAACGCGTTAAGAACTTCGGAAGGCTTCAATCCACGTCTCGGAATATCGCGGATACTCAAGGATACAAGGAGGTGAACCTGGTATCCTCGGCAGGCAAACTGGGTCCGTGCAGAAACTGTCATGAGTTACATTTACGGAGGCTGTGTCCGTATAGAGACCGGAATTGTAATTTCTGCGGCAAAAGGGGACATCTCGAAGTAGCGTGTTTCCGAAAACAAAATAAAGGGAAAATTACGTCGAAAGAGCATCTTGGACGTCCTGGCAGAAAAGACACACGAGGTCAGTCATGTAATTCAGGGAAGGCGGATCGAAAAGTACATGCGGTTGACGTAGGAGGGTTAACCGCAAAAGGGTTTGAAGAAAATCGGATCTTTGTTTGGNCGGCGTACAGGTCTGGAAGGAACTAGGGGAACCAACTTTAAGGGTTGCGGAGTTCGATATGAGAGTGGCAAACTTAGAGAGGTTGACATGCTTGGGATATTTCAACTGTTCGTTTGTTTTAGAAGGCAAACAATTTGAAGGTTCCTGCTATGTGGTTCCGCACGACCTCGCATTGCTTGGGTGCGAGTGGTTGAAGAAG